AAATCATTTGGTATACCTCTCCGTTCAACCAAATGGTTAGTATTAAGCTAGGACAAACATTCCTAGCTTTAATTGAAAAACACTTTCCTACCAATAATAGACTAATAAAATATTTAATAAAAACACCCTAAAATTAAGTTACAGCTGCACTGAAAATCTAGAAAGCATAATAAAAAAAAACACAATAATAAAATCCTGAATAAACCCCATGCCAGAATAGTATTAATAAAAAACCTACACTTAAATTAGACAAAAATAGTGAAAAATTATGTGATTGTAGAAACCCAGAAGACTGCCCATTGGAAAATAAATGCTGCGTAAAATCTGTGGTATACCAAAGTACTATCTCATCTATTGAGAGTCCTAATACTAATATGATATACATTGGGTCTACGAAGAATGAATTTAAAACCAGATGGAGGGAGCATAAGTACTCTTTCAACAATATAAATAAAAGAAATCAGACATCTCCATCTAAATATTTTTGGCATTTGAAGCAAATGAATAAAACACCAAAAGTAAAATGGAAAATTATAAACAAAACTAGAACTTGTAAAACTTGGGATGACCCATGCCCTTTATGCCTACATGAAAAACTACACATTATTAAGTTTCTAAATAATAAAAATCTATTAAACAATAGACATGAGTTAACGGTTTTTTGCCGACATCATCAAATTTTCGCATTGAATAATTAGCATAAAAACAAACAAACAATAGAATAATTTTTAAATTCCATAGTCTAAATAAATAGTTTAAATGTCCTACAAAAAAAGAAAAAAGATAACCCTTTATGAAGTCGTCAAAAAAACAAATGTTAGCGACTTATGACAGTTTTTTTATATACACAAAACCCTTTCAGAAAAAAATAAAATAAAAAAGTAAATAAATCTCCATAGACACTTAACCAGACTAGACGATGTCATCTTCCGCTTTAAATTTAGACACTCCAACCTTACCCTGACTTGACGTCTTTGAACATAAATGAGATATTGATACAAATTATTAACACTTACGCCCCTTTTCTTTAAATAATTGCTCTAGCCGTTACCATAGTAATTTTAATTTCAATAATAAATATGCTTATAAAACGCGTAAATTTCAGGAATTAGTTATTCCAACCGAATAAATAATCATTGGGATTTTTTAAATTGTTGTTTTTTTTCCCTCCCACCACAGACTTTGAAATGTACATATGGGGACTGAGTAGAGAATTTGAGGTATTATGGTGGACGTAGTAAGAAAGGTAGGAGTAAATGTGTTGTTTTGGTGATAGGACTATTGAATTTGGTTCCGTGTCTGTGATTATAAGTTTAGAATTAAGACAGAAGACCGTCCTTCCCCAACCCCCTTTTTGGCCTTGTGTCACATTTTGTATAGTAGTACGAATAAATAACTATTCCAACCGAGTGCTCCTTCTACCGGAATGTCGTCTTGCATGAAAAGTATATATATATATATATATATATATATATGATAATTGACGATTTTCGAAGTAGGAGGCACTCGATCTGGCCTTGGGCTCTCAGGTTGAAATGTTTAACGATGAGGCATCCCTCACCTGGCTGGTTTTTTTGCTTGGAAAATCTCCAAACTTTTCTTCTTTCATTGCAAGTTGGTAGCAAAAAGGCCCTCATGGTTCGCATTTTTGTCATTGAGGCCTCTTCTGTTTGTAGTGTAGCACCGCCGTTGACGATGAACTGAATAAATTATACATATATATATATATATATATATTATTTATATATATATATATATATATATATATATATTTGTGCTGCAAAGTTTTATGGTTATTTTTTAAACTTTTATCAAAAACGACATTTTGTACATGTAGTTATGGATAGTATTAAAATTTTGGAATAATATTTGCAGTTGTTGACATTAATACTTTCTGCTGAAAAATTTAATAATGCAATAATCAAATTTAAATTTCATCACTTTGTCGCGATCTGTTAATTCTAGTGTGAGAATTCCGGACGGGACTATAAGAAAAGAACGAAAGCATCGTTCATTATCAATTACTCAGAAAGTTGATTTACTACAGAAACTAAATGGTGGCGAGTTTGTGCGTCGTTTGATTGAAGAATACAATGTCGGAACTGCAGGAATACAATGCCGGAACTAAAATAGTGTATGGTTTAAAGAAACTGAAATGGAAGTTTCTGAAATTCTGCAGTGATAGTGATGACAAAAACAAATGAAAACAGAAAAATAGGAAAACACTGCATAAGACAAAAAAAAAAAAATGAAGTTTCTGACAGAGTGTGAGTACGACAACGGAGAAATGGGCTCATGGTCATAAAACAAGCAGGAATATGTGATAATGGGATAAACCCTGAAAGCCAGTGTCAGTACACGGAAGGTTGGCTGCAGAAAATTAAGAAGGGCCACGTTATAAAATATCTAAAACAATATGCGATGAAAAAGGTTCAGCTGATCACGATGCAGAAGAATTTGCCAAGATAATATCAGATTAAAAGCTCAGCCACGAACAAGTTTACAATGCTGATGATTGTGGTACGTGCCTAGGAAAGCAACTGCAGATGTGAGAATCCCAACTATTCTTGGGTGTGCTAATGATATCGAATAAATGTTGTACATTAACAATGATTCACCTGCTGTGCATTTCTTGAGTGATGGGAATATTGTTACAGAAAAGAACGATGACAGTATTATTGACATTGTGTGAACACTGGCGAGAAAATTTTTTTAAAAAACATAGACGATCTGGTGAAAACGTGTGGCCAGTTAATTACTGGGCTTGAACAACGCAAATTTATCGGTGAGCAGGATATTTTATCAGTTTATTCAATTAAAGAGTGTTCACCGAGAAAAAGAATTTGATGAAAAAGACGACACCCATAGAAACATTTGCAAAGGGTCGTCATAACAACGCAACGTCATCACGGGATTCAACATTAGAAACCTAGGTCCCTATTGGCAACGACGATAGTGACAATAATGATTCGCCTTCTACCATATCCTCATAGTAAAAGACAATTTCGTGTGACATAAGAGAGTTTAAAGATGTAGCAGAATGTGTCAGCTGATAAGAGGGCGTGTGTACCAGTGACAGTGAGATGCCTTTTAAGTTTTTACCTAATGTCCTTTTTTGAAATAAGTTTCCCTACTGTTGTGGATTCCGGTTTGAAATCCGGTACCAATAAATAACAAACGCCAGGAATGAATATATGAAAATTATGTATTAATGTAATAATACAAACTGGTAAAGCAGGTTAGTAGTTCCAGGAATACGGGTTAGTAGCAAAATATATATACAGTCTTTGGTATTGAAGTATCGCTGTATGACTTCTTACTGAGTCTACGTGCTCGCTCACTGTGACTCCTACAATGCTGTTACCTCTCCCTCACACTTCCGGTTACCTACAACCCTTTACTCTGTCACTCTGGACTCGACTCGACGGTCTTGCTCTCTAGGGTCTTCACGTAGCCGTAGTATATGTATATACTGGGTGAGTCCATTTGTGTAAAAAAGGGGTGAACCCCTCAATACCTACTGTATGTGTAGTAATAATAATAATCCCAATACTACATTATTTGTTAGTGTATTTTCCATAAAGTGTAGTGTTATTTTGTGTCAGTCATATTTTATTTAATTTTGCCCTGATCATAGTTATTTAACTAAAAGTTATTAAACGTAAAGTTCTAAAAACAGAGTTGACCCCAAGGATTTCAGATTAGTGATAGTGAACCTATATGTATATAGATATATCATTGTCGGTTATAATTTTATGTATTTGTAATATATAGTCTTATTATGTATATATTTTGACGGGGATTCTTATGTAATTAAATGAGTAGAATAACATGGTGTTAATTAAAATTAATTTTGAGAAATATTATTAATCGTATTAGGAGCTGATGGGGCACCACGAGGCGGTGTAATGGTTAGCTAGCTTGTCTCGCCAGAACCATTACGAATGAGTAGTGAGTTCGATCCTCACTGGATACCCCATACTTTCGACCTTGTACTACATCTAAGCTAGGCTTGGAAAAACTCTATTAGGAGCCGATGGCAGAATTTGTGCATTTCCATGTTAATACTGATTCTGCGCGCGAGTGTGTGTGTGTGTATTATAATATATAGTGTTTTCGAGCATGAGACGTTGGTTCGAATCTCGCCATGGTCGATTAGTCAGGAAGGTGATTTTAAAGATCTGAGGAACTGAGGAAGCGATCCCGGCAAAGAGCCTGAAGACCTTTGCAATATCCAGATGACATCAACTGATATTACATTTAAATTGTTGAAGATTAAAGCTGACTCAAAAGAAAGGACCCGGAAGAGAGTTCATCAGGCGGGAAGAACGAGAGATGAAACTGTTCAGTTACATCTAGCTGTTTCAACTGTAAATGATGAGGTCCACCTGCCAATCGAGTACTGCGCTCAAGTAAACGTAACAGGAAAATATTTATAGAAATTACACAGAGAAACTACATTACAGTGGTCGGAAAGTGACTGAAGCCGAGATGCCAGGACAGTACCAATAACTTTGTAGATCATTTGGATTTTATCAGAATACATCAGTCAGTTATATGATACACGCTTAGGCGATCATGTATATCTTCGATACATGACTGACGAGGCAGATTTTTTTCTGCAGTAGGTTGACATTTCTTTCTGCGGTAGACCAGTTGCCATCCAAAAGCTATAGAACCCAGTCTGTTCTGCTATTTACCCATAGTTGTGAGGAGGAGAAGAGGATTCATACCTTTCCCAAGGGTATTAGTACATAAGTGAATGTAATGGATTCGACTGAAATTCGAACTCGGCTCTCCGATTCCTCAATCCGAGCCGCTATCCATTAATCCATAGCGCCTCTTTATCAGAATATACCTCTCCTAATTGTAATTTTATTCCTATTCTTTTTGCCAATAATCATTTTATGTATTCGACCCCAAACTTTTACACGCAATAAATGATGGATTTGATTTTTGCTTCCTTTTGTCGGTAAACATTTCGGATTGGAGGAAGCCGTTTACAGTACCCGTTGTTCATATCCGAACCCCCATCTAAGTACTGACCAAGCTCGACATTGCTTAACTTCCTTGATCGAACGAGACCCAGTATTTTCAGCGCAAGTTGACCGTAAGCATGGTTTAATGATCTCAGTTCTTCTGTCAGTAAAATTTCCGATTTATAGTAGTCAACTTGGACACCTCGAGGCGGTGTAATAGTTAGCAAGCTTGTCTCGCTAGAACAATTACAACTGAGTAGTGAATTCGATCCTCACTGTGTGTCCCCTACTTTCAGCCTTGTGACACATTTAAGCTACGCTTGGAAAATTACTATAGCAGTCAGCTTTTTCTTGGTTTTGAATTTCAAAGTCCCATAATGCAATGGTTGCCCATTTTAGGAGTCTATGTCAAGGGACAAGTCTCTGCTCTTAAAATGTTACGAAGAAAGTAACCTACCTAATTAGCTTATAGAAATGAGCTGACAGAACATGGACTAGGACAAATAGTAAAAACGCAAAACTTGCTAACAGGTGGAAAGAAGAGGAAATTGTGGAGAGCCACAGTTAATGAGAAGAGGAGGAGGAAGAGAAATAATAATAATAATAATAATAATAATCCCACAAAACTGTTTCAGGATTTCAATACTTCACATTATTATTATTTTATTTGATTTCTGTTGTATACCCATTTTTACCGGGTCCCGTCCAGAGACCTAAGGTATGAAATGGCATCATGACATTTTCCATTGAGCAGTTTTGAAAAAAAAATCACTCATATTTTACCTAGATAAAACCCTCAGTAAGGTGTGGGCTCTACTCGTGAGAACAATGTTTTTGTCTTTATCTAAGGCATGGAATACCAGGAATCCCTTCAATGAGTCTATTGGAGTCTCTTCTTATCTATCCGAGGGCTCCAACTACAAAAGGTATTGTTGATGCTCTCATGTGTCACATTCTTGAGATTTCCATTTCTAGATCCTTGTATTTTTATATTTTTTGAAGATCTTTTATTATTATTATTATTATAATTTTCCTTTGATTTCTCTTGTATATACATTTCCTTCAGAGTTCCAATTAGATACCTAAGGTAAAAATGGCATTATGGTATTTTCCACTAAACATTGTTGTGAAAAAATAAATAGATAAAATAAAACTAGGATCACACTGATTTTACATAGATAAAACCCTTCGTAAGGTGTGACCAAACTTGTGAGTACAGTTTTTATTTTATTTCTTTTAATGTCTGGTCTTCCAGTGATCCCTTCAGTTAGGCTATCGGAGTCCAATCAAGTCAGACACAACTGGAATTATTACTGTTGTCATGTGTCACACTTTTCTCCACTTCTAGATCCTTGTATTTTGATAGTTTTTGAAGATCTTCAAAGATACATTACAGTCTTCAGGAACTGCCATTTTAATAAGAAAACACATTTTGTTTTTGTGGTCTTTGATTGGCAATTAGATTTGATTGTTCTATAGTTGTGTATTGACCTAAAAAATGTTACCTGTTTTTAAATTTGTAACCGGGTTCCTTCTCGTAAAACATGCAGATATTCCAATGCATATATTGGTCTACACTGCCATGGTGGGTTTATATTAGGTGGATTCTTATACCGTGTAACCTGATACAAGATGGCCAATGGTGTCTGCATATTGGTCACAGAATCTGCACAATTTTTCAGTACGCTTGCTTAGTAATTTCTAGTTAGCAAGTATTGGTCCTCTGCAGTAAGAATAAAATGTACGATTTCAGATTTGAATCCTACTCTACATAACCAATGCTTTTGACTTCTGTTTTAGATTCTACCCCGCTGCATTAGATGTATTATGGTTTACTTGCTCATCTTAATCCTCTTAAAATCCCCATTTTGTTTGTTGGCTGTCTTTATTACGGAATAGCGTTTCTTATTTTTTTCATGTTCTTTCACACAGACGTTTATCCAGTATTCTGTAGTTTGTAGGGATATTTTAAGACGGATTGTTGTGATTTTGTAAGACAGTTCTAGTTGAACTAATCCTCTACCTCATTCGGATCTGGACACACAGAGACAATCAACAGGTTCTTTTTGTTTGTTCTTGGATATTTATTTTCCAGTAGCTGATAAAACTGTTTCATATATGGTATTTAATTCTGGAATGTTTCCAGTCATCTACCCGTTAACTATGCACAAAGAGAGAGAGAGAGAGAGAGAGAGAGAGAGAGAGAGAGAGAGAGAGAGTGTGTGTGAGAGAGAGTGTTTGTGAGAGAGAGAGGGAGAGAGAGGGAGGGGGTAGAGACAGACAGACAGATAGAGAGATAAAGATTAATATAGATAAATGGATAGGTATATATTAATATGAAATATCTATAAATATATAAGACCCGCTACCTAGCGTTCATAACCAAACAATGCAAAAGCTATGGATATAAATACAGACAGAAAATCCGCTGTGGAGCCTCGAAGGCTGTTGCTTGTTAACATTGAGAACCTTCCCGCAACTCAAGCAACAAGCTGGTCTCAAATGTAAATCCCTGTATTCATTTAGGTCCTATCTGCACTGCCAAAATGGGGGCCATGTAATCTGGGCCTCCATATGCCATAATCCCAGGCTCACACCCTGGGGATGCCATTTCAATCTCACCTGAAAAGAATTGAGTTTTGAGCAAACAGGTCACTACTTTCATTTCGTGAGATAAACAGATGCCTTCAATAGATAGTGCTTAATAATAATAATAATAATAATATATATATATATATATATATATATATATAATGCCCACCCTTTAACATTCGGAAAAGAGGTAAGGATTTGTTTTCAAATCATTTTATCACCAATTACTTACCATCGCCCGAAGAAGTTCAATCATTGTATTGAAACATGAAAGCATTTGTGTAGCGATTTAAAAATGTTTTATTATAACATCTTATAATATATATATATATATATATATGATGCAACGTATGTAAATATAGAACTAGAAATTGAGGTCAACACACAACGGCGACAGTCTGTTTTCATGCTTAAACGCAACCATCAGACTATATATATATATATATATATATATATATTGGAGACGGAGGAATTAGCGATAGAGATAGCGAGAGGCTCAAAGAGAGGGTGAGTGAGAGAGAATATTTGGAAGTAGGAATTTCAACAAAGTACACGAACTATTCACAAAACGATGAATATTTGCAAAACCAAGAAAAAAAAACAACCAAAAGAAAGAAGAAAGAAAGTAAAGTTCCAGCATAAATATAAATAAAATACAAATAAAAAAAAAGATCAAATTTACAAAAAAAAAAAAAAAATAAATAAATTACTACAAAGCCTGATCCTCCATGTCATTTTGACAAATCTTTCTCGAATCGAATAAATATTTATGTCATAAAAAATTAACCCCCAAAGAACCAGTCGCGGTGAGAATTTTTTCCCTTCAATAGTTTTTTTTTCGGGTAATTTATTCCATTTAACATTTAATATGAACCAGACGCAAATATAGCCACGAAAATAGCCAATTAATCTTCGAGATGGAATAAATCTTCGAGAAGGAATAAATCTTCGAGAAGGAATAACAGTGAAATAGATTCTCAGAGCGAAGCAAGAATATTTTAGGGAGAGATAAATGCGCATTAAGTAACTTTTACTACCAGAAAATATGAAAAAGAATAAATTAAAAGTATGACACGCGTAATATTTTACGAAATGGTAATTGAGAGATTAAGCTTTTCCATACAGGAAACATTCGACATTCACGGACCATACAATTAGCGTTACTGTCAATTTCAAAATTTTAAAAATGTTTCATTTAAATGTCTCGTCATATCAAGCTACGTAGCTATCTCTGCCTATCTATCTATCTATCTATCTATCTATCTATCTATCTATCTAAGTCTCTTTATATATATATATATATATATATATATATATATATATATATATATATATATATATTTGTATATATATATATATGGTATTGATTGAGCTTGTGACCCTGGGTTTCAAGTTATTTGCGATCGTCAGACAAACTGATTAATTTTTGAATTTTGGATTTATATATGGTTGCATGGTAGAGTTCTAACGACAATTCTCCCTCTGTAAAAACACCGATATACGCAACCATATATAAATACTAAATTTAAAAATGAATCAGTTTGCCTGACGGTCGCAAATAGCATGAAATCCTAAGTCACAAACTCACATCAATCCAACTAAATATGTTAGCTTTATCTCTGATATTCAGTGCTTTCCAATAAGTACTGCGCATATGTAAAATATGAATAATATATAAAAAATTACACATATATATATATATATATATATATATATATATATATATATATATATATATATATATATATATATATTTTTGTATTTAGGCAGCAATCTTTCTTTCATGCTCATTTCATTGAATACGACAAATAAGGTGCTTTGATTTAGTTTTTTATACAATTTCTCATGTGATGTAATAATTTTTTTCTTTTTGGAGAGTAAATTATATAAGAAAATACTCATGGAGACCAACCGGGCCCGTAACATACTTGTTAACAACACTAATATAATAGCAACAACTACATAAAAACAAGGCTAAAAATATTGGAAGCCTTATTAATAATAAGAAGAAAAAACACTTCATAGTATCAACGATATATTAACAATAACTTAACCGTGTTTTGAAAATGATATATATAAATAGATACATAAAACAAACTATTTCTTGTTAACAGTTAATATTTTTCAACCTTGAAAATGGCTAAATGTATAGCCGAAAGAGCACGGAAATAAAGAAAATTGGATAGTTATTGTATAATTTATGATCCGAAAAAAAAAAACTTATTCGATCACATGAGAAAAACTAAATCAAAGCACCTTGTCTGTAATATTCAATAAAATATACGATATATATATATATATATATATATATATATATATATATATATATATATATATATTATAAATTAATTGATTTAAAATATGTTTTTATCGCTACACAGTTCTAACCATGTTCAAAAATGGAAGCTAAAAGCCCCGATTTTAATTTTGTAATTAAATTAAAGACATTAGTTCCATTTCATCCTCAAGCGAATTTTGGAGTAACTTTTAAAATTACTGGGTTTTAAAGACACAGCAAAAATCATAAATTCACGTTTCCAAGG